CAAGCTTTTGATAAAAATAAGATTGTAAATTAATTTTCTTAAAATATTGCACAAATATTATATTCTTACTGCTTGATAGATATATTTTTCGTAATATATTTTCTATCGTTTTCATGATAAGCTTTCGAAAAACTCTGAATGTTCGCAACTGAAGAAATCTTCTGCCTTTTCGCGATACTCTGCAGTTTCTGGATATACTTTTTCTTGAAAAAGTTCTTTTGCGATCCCCTTAACAGTGCTCTAAAATAATATTAAAAAATAATAATATAATAATTTCAAAAATCTTCACAATCTTATATACCTCAATACAATCCTTTTCGGTTATAACATTTTGATGTGAATATAACTCATTTTCTAGACAAGTAATTTTATCCTCCAACGATTTTTGGTGTTCAATCACTGAATTCACTTTTTTGAGAAGCAAAGAATTTTGCTTCACAATCCTTTCGAAGATCTTTATTGATACTATAATTCTAATTAGTATTAATAAAAAAGTATATATTATAGCAATTTTACAATACCTGAAGCTCTTTCAGGTTCTTCCCAAGCTAATGGCTGGTGAACAAGAACAGAGACATCCAAAGCTCTTGGCAAAGTATTACCGGACTTTCTTGATCTATCAAAGAATGTTTTGAAATTTTCAGAATTGGCAGGTGGCATAATCATACATCTTTTTTTCTTTTCAGAACCCTCCGGAGCTTCCTCATTTTCTCCCCTGCTCTTCTTCTTTCTTTTAGCACCTAGGATTAAGGAATTAACCATGTTACGTCTTGCTTGTTTTTGATCAGATATTTTAAAGAAAAAGTTTAGAACATTTAGAAGCCTTTTATAATAAAGATTTTCAAAAAAAATATATCATAATTACACCTTTGTATTCTTCCGTTATGTCATTAATTATTACAAGTTCAATGTGTCATAAATGAGTTTATAAGCCTTCGGAATTAAATAAAATCGTATCATAATTTACGTATTAGATTAAATTTCTATTGGCTAAAAAAAAAAATTTTTTTTATTGACTAAAAATATTTGATTAAAAATATTTTTATTTTATTGGCTAAAAAACTTTAGTCACAACGAACCTCTGGAGTGTTTCATAGCATCACAAAATGGCCTTCAAATGTACATTCTGTCAACGTACCTTCAAATTATTCTAGGCATATTAACAAGTGTATATTAACGGTCGAATCTAATGATGAATTTAATAAAAGCTCAAATGAGTCACACCAATTAACTCATGGAATTTCTTTAAATACTTCGGAGGTCTTCGAAGATAATGGAAAGATTTATAATTTTTATTGATATTTATTTTTGAATATATTTTAATTTTTCAATTTTATTAGATTACTTTAGATAT